AACACTGTTTGTGTTGGAAGCTCGAGAGTGAAAGGTTTAAAAAGGGATTGGAGCGAGAGTAACGACACGTCAGTATTGACACGTAAGACAATATGCCACGTGATTTTATATAGCAGGACGATTTTTTTTTAGTTTTAGAAATGGTTTAGGTATTTCTGAACACCATGCTTGGTGCCGGTGTGGAATCATATTTTTTCGAAGAATTTATAAATGTTTTTTAAAATTTATAAGTTTGGGAATTTTTTGGTGGTGTTATTGTGAATTTTTGACGAAAGAGCTTCCCGTTGAAACATGAACAAAATGACAAATTGTGTTTGTTATCAAACCGTGTTTAGAGAGTTATAATTAGGCTTATAACGTTCGAAAATAATTAATGAAGTGATATTTTCTGAAATCTAATAACATCCATCATGCAGAGAGCTAACCGTTGAAACAAAAACAAAATGACAAATTAGTTTTCTTATCAAACCGTGTTTAAGGAGTTATAAACTTATAACGTTCAAAATTCATTGATGAATTGAATTTTGCTTAAATCTCTTACATTATGCATTAATTAATGTAAGCACAACGAATTAATTAAAGGACAAAATTATATAAACAATTTCGTGAAAAGTAGAAACATGATTTATGATTTTTAGTTGAAAGCTTTGCAAACACATATCCTCTCTATATCATAATATAGTTGATTTTTAAGAATATTACACACAAATTAAATAAGCATTAAATTTTTGATTTTTTTAAATTAAAACATATTTCATCATCCAGTTAAATACAATTCAACCAATAGAAAATTAATCTGCACAATACAAATAGTCATATCAAATAAAAATATATTTAATTTTGTATTGAAAACTGGAAAACTCATCTAATTTAAAACAAAACAAAAATCTCTAGAAAATCAGTTAAAATAATACAGGGAGGAGTAAATAATTTTCAAAGTTCAAATGATTGTCACGTATAAAACATGGCGAATGGAGCATACCAAAAACGAAACATTTTGTTCTATCGTTTTGATCTCGACTCAAGACAACGCAACCATTCATAATTGAGCATTTTTTTCCGGAGATCATCTAATAAAAACTTAGAAATAGTTAAATCTTTATTGACATTTATGATATTATAAAACTGTTTAATAAGGATTGATTTAGTACATTCACTTTAAAAAAACATATTTGGTTTTGCTAAACTGTAAATATTCATTATAGGGATTACAAGTTGTATTAGAACAAATTGGAACACCTAAGAGGTTGGATCCATGGCAAAAAAGATTTAAAAAACATGGAAACAACATACAATCGGTACAAGTTCGGGATTTTATGTTGTAAAACATTCAATCCCGAGAAAGTAACGATAAAGATCTTGCAATCTCCGGGGTAATAACCAATATGGAAGGTAGAATATGAGAAACATCATGAACGGCTAGATCGATGTCAACCACACTAAAAGAAGCACGTTCATCCGGTAGCATGAACTAAAGTCTAACGAAAGTCAAATAGCCAATGAACAGCGAGCGAAAGATGCCCTCTACACCCATTAACGAAGTGCGTCACCAACCTTTGATACTTGAGCTAAAACAGAACTCCAAGACTATACTAACCAAAGAGAATCAAACGCTCAGAAGCATCACCACGATCCCTTCTATCATGCGTGATATAGCTTAACTTTACGAATGAAGACTTCAGCCTTACTAGGTCCTCCAAAGCGAAGCCGAACACCACATAAAACTCGACCAGAAACTAAACATAAACCACCATCACTAACAATCAAGCGGAGACAGCGGTGGAGCTCACCACAACCACCACACGGTTTGCCACACTAGACCAAGACCTCCAACAACAAGCTCGGCGAAAGCATATTTCACATAGTTATTTGTAGTTGTAAACAGAAAAGCACAAAGGAAACAAAATGAGCATCTTGGTTAGTAGTTTTATCAATGTTTTGAAATATAAAATATTAGTACTTTTTTTTTTTTACTTATTGCTATTTGTATCTCTGTCTCTTATGTGAGTTATGATTTATAAAACTTTTAACAAAAATGTTTCTTGATTATGTGAACATGAATGTTTGCTGCATGACCGGTAAAATATAATTCATGTATATGGAGAGGGAGAATCTTTCATAAATGCAAATTGCATTGAGAGATATAAAAATGCATAGTATTTGCAGTTGTACGAACTTGAGCGGTTAATTGCATGATATTTCTTCGTTCTCAATTTTTTTTTATTTAAAAAAAATCTGTCTATTTCTGGGCGTACTTGTTAATTGTTATAGCACTGAAATTAGTATAAAATAGTACCAATAATTCAGAAGCCGTTAGTTCTTGTTCCAAAACGCGCACGTGCACGACACACATATTGATCATTTACATAATATTCATTCATGTCTATAAGTAGTACTTTTTCTTATTATAATTTTCAGTGAAACTTTGGAAGTACTTATAGTTCATTACGAATCTTATGATTCTTATCACAATGTTTTCTTCGCAAACCCGGTACTTAATTCGGAACAACAGTTTATAACAACTGACACATTTACAAGTTCATATAGTATATTATTTTTATACAAGCATAATACTGTAATATACATAACAAAAAAATAGGCATGACTATCTATACGTATTTGATGTCTCACCGGGTGAGTAAACTGCTCTTGGCTAAATTATTTCCTTTTTCTGTTGGTAGGTTATAAAAATATATAATCATAATAACTAAGATCAATTATCAATCCCATTGCCAATTTAATTTGCCATAATGGAAGTAACTTTCATCTAAAGCAAATAACTTTATAGTAGATCGATATTTCATTATAATATGAACAAAGATCTAATGAACAAGAACATCAGAGAATCTTGATGATTTGGCATGGAGATGGACTTATCTATAGTTTTTTCCTTAACATCTTCATTAATTATTATGGATGATAGTACCTTTATCAAATTTATTTATTTCGTCACAGCACCTTTATCAATTAATAAAATATGAAATTTCCCAAGTTGCTTTACTTTTCGTTTGCTTCTCTGCAGAAATGAACGTTGCCTTTGTTTTTGTGTTTCTTGCAGCGACAGAAAGATAGTGGATTTTTCAAAAAATAAATATAGAAAGCATGTCCTAGTGCTATATAACTTTTCTTCATGTATTTGTTTTCCAAGATTTTTATCAATGGGGTCGGGTCGGGTTGGTAGGATAGATTTTAAGCAGGCCGAGCCCAGTTATAAGAGCGGGCTTCAGCTCAGCAATGTCATTATCACAAGTATATTTTCAATCTGATTTGAATTAATGAAAAGTTTTGAAATTTTAGATTTTTCTTTTATAGATGACAGTGGAAAGTGGAAAGCTTTTCAAGATATCTATTTTCTTCATTCAATGTTTTTTAACTAAGTGTACGTAACATGCAAATCATAAAACAATATTTATACCTAAACTGATACTTTTATTTTCAAATTACCCGTGCGGATACATAGGGACCATATGAGATGTGGGTGTGGCCAAGTGATATCGCCATCTGCAGCGATTTTAGTGTAAGAAATCCGTTATTATATGAACTATTGTTGATAAAACCCTAATTAAACCGCCAAATACGTAGAAATATACGTACGTAATAAACACAAACTGCATGTTCACATATAACTACTTCAACCGGGCAAATGATCAAACTAGATATAAAATATAGAATTATGTTGGTATGTACGTCACACCAAATCTCATATGATAGAAGAAAAACATCAATCCCATATGCAAGCCATCGGCCCATACACATGAAATCAAAGTCTGACCGAGTAAATCATCAACTTGAGCAATAGATAAAAGATAGTCATTTCCTACATACGCATATACCCAGATTAATGAATTTATATTAGAGAAGTTCTCTTAAAAACGAAACTAAATTCCATTAAAAAAAGAAAAGAAAAGAATAGGCTTTTTAAACCTGATCGACATGAATATATGTAACGACAACTTCTTTACACAAATCTCTACGAAATATTGGTCTTGTATGTTTCTCTTTTGATAGCGTTGGTCTTATATCTAAAATCATCTAATGTTATCATATAATAATATCCTCAACCCCAAGGTTACTTTCTTGAATTAGTTGTCTTTTTGAATCTTTCATGATTTTTTTCATTTAGAGAAGTAGTTTTTTTATCATTTTAATTAGGAAATAAAGAACGAGTCTTTGCAAAGCATAAAATAACTCCTTGTTGATTTACATTTAATCGGATGATGGCTCCTTTATTTTCTTCTTGGTACACTTGTTATATCTTACGCTTTTAAATCCGATTGTTTGTGTCGTTGACTAATATTAAATCAATCATATATATATAACAAGATTTGTGTTAAACGATAGTCTATCTCGTATAACTCAAGAAAAGTTCAAAAGGTCTAATTCGAAGAAGTAATTTTTTGAGGAAAACAAGCCTCGTATAGTTTATTGATATAAATAAATGTGTCTCTTCTGATCGGTATATTGTATTAAAGATACAAATTATTTCCAAGAACTTACAATCACCATATAATTTTATAGTAGTCATGTAATTGCATCTAATAGATACCTATAAACTACAGTTAAGTTAAAACGATTAAAATTGTATTTACCAATTCACAAAATAAAACTTTAACATCATCTAGCTATAGCTACATCGATTCTCATTTCTAGGCATATACATATCGTATGCAAAATAATTAAATATACGTTAAGGCAGCGCGGAATGTTTCAAAGTAGTTCATACGTACGCCTTTGGGTTTTATATAAAGATTTATCTCTCTTAATTTAAATAAATTTGACTGACCTATTCGACATATACAAGATGTATTAATTTTCTTGATAGACGGGTCGTTTGGGCGTATATATATAGTAGTGGATGATCTCTGAGGTCTCATAAGCCATTCCACAAGAACCAGCACCATAACATCGCAACACTTTCCACAAAAACAAGATGAAGATTGCAAAGTTTTCTGTTCTTCTCCTGGTTTTGTTTATTTTCCCGGTTGCGTTCGCACAGTTGAAAGTCGGGTTTTATAGCAAATCATGTCCTAATGCAGAGACTATCGTACAGAGCTTGGTAAGTCGACGGTTTGCTGAAGACCGTACACTTACAGCCGCCTTGACTAGGATGCATTTTCACGACTGTTTTGTTCAGGTAATTTTGATGATCTTTATATTTATTAAATTAGATAAGATATCTAATCAGAAAGTGAACTAAGTAAGATATTATTCATTCGAGTTATTCATATTACTTGTTTAATTTTAAAAGTCGAATGATATGTTTCAAAAAAAAAAATCGAATGATTCTAGTTTTAATAAATTAAACCAGCAAAACCTTTTACAATAAGAACCTGATTTTCAAAAATATAGAATAAAGTTTGAAAACCATTTTTTCCCCATAAAATAACCATAACTTGAAACATATATAATATTAGTATACATGTAATTCTTAAAAACAAATTTCTATATGGTAGGGTTGCGACGCTTCACTACTAATAGACCCAACGACCAGTCAACCACGACCGGAAAAGACAGCCGGTCCAAATGGCAGCGTGAGAGGGTTCGAGCTGATCGATGAGATCAAGACGGCTCTCGAGGCTGAATGTCCCTCCACAGTCTCGTGCTCCGACATAGTCACGCTAGCCACACGTGACTCCGTGTTCTTAGGTGGAGGACCGAGCTATGTGGTCCCCACCGGACGTCGTGATGGCTTTGTCTCGAACTTTGCAGATGCCGAAAGGATCCTCCCCGGACCAGCCCTCCCCGTCCCAGCCATGGTTACGTTCTTCGCAGATAAAGGAATGAACGTTTTCGATGCAGTGGCTCTTTTGGGAGCACACACGGTTGGTCGGGGATTTTGTGGTAATTTTGTGGATCGGCTTTCGGACCCCTCCATGGACCCCGAATTGGCTGGCAGGTAAAATTTTGTTTTTGTCGCATATAATTTACTTAGGTTAAAACATGGTAGAAAAAACCGTAGTACAAATCACTAGATTACAAGTTTTGGCACTGTTG